AGTGGCGGAGGCTGTAACTCCATCCCGGCGCTGCAGGTTGCTTGCAGAAAGGGCAAGTCGCAGCGCCGACGGATGCTAGAGTTAGCTGGGAGCCTTGGTGCTGGTCTCCCCGCTAGGGGCTTTCTTTCTCACCCTAGCGGAAACAGAATTGAGTCTCTTGTAACTATTCTCAGTGTAAAGGGGAGATCTCTAATTTCTCTGGACAGCCTTTAGTCCAGCTTGGGTCGTCTGTCTGGGGGAGTGAGGCGAGACGGGGATGGAAGGCCTGCAGCACGTGGAAGCGGGCTGGGAGCCTTGGTGCTGGTCTCCCCGCTAGGGGCTTTCTTTCTCACCCTAGCGGAAACAGAATTGAGTCTCTTGTAACTATTCTCAGTGTAAAGGGGAGATCTCTAATTTCTCTGGACAGCCTTTAGTCCAGCTTGGGTCGTCTGTCTGGGGGAGTGAGGCGAGACGGGGATGGAAGGCCTGCAGCACGTGGAAGCGGGGGGCTGGCTGCTTCTCCGCTGTGGAATAAATGACTGTGCGTCTGACTCATAGGCAGAAGTGACACTACACTGCCTCGTGGACAAGGCCAGGCGCTAGGGGTGCATGGTTTGGGCGGGTTCTCGCATGCTTATCTGCTCGTTAAAGCGAATAAACTATCCCAGTTTGCCATAGAGAGGTGTGCTTGTGGGAGGGAATGGTCCTGTTAAAATGGGTAGGTTCCCATTGCAATGGGTGTATAACCTGGCAAGTAACCTTACTAACCTGGCAAGTTCCTGTCACCAAGTATTTTGCTCTATGAGGTCCACAAAAGCAAGATCAAAATGGGTCTTCGCTATTAAAGAATGGTGTGTACAAAAGACTAATGCTACCTGAGGTCACCATTTTTTGACTGTGTTGCAACAAAGCCTGATGGGACAGAAAAACTTGCCACAGAGGGCAGCAATGGGTAAGAAGGATCGTGACTCAGCTCCAGGCAAAGTTTCATATCCTGTTAAGTCAAGAAAATGTTCCACTAATATCCTGCACATACAGAGGCTTCTCATCCCCAAAGCTCTCAGACACTTTGCAAATATGGGTGTGCATCTTTGGCTTCTCTTAGCAGAGGTATAGAGTAGCCAAGTAGCTTGCCTTAGGTGATACAGTGGCTATTATCTGCTGGAATTTTCTGTGAATGTCCCTTCCATTTCACAGTAATGGGAGCTAAAGCTCTATTAGCATCAGAGTAGACAGCCCATTATTGTTTTGATCACTCTGTTATCCTAACATGCCTGTAAGCAGGCTTAGCAGATGAGGTGGCCATGGGCTTACTCCATGAATTGCAGTCACACTATTTCAGTGGTACTGGTGTAAAATGAGAACCAAAAGGCTGGTGTACCAACAGTCAACACCAGTGAATCTGTGGTAGAGCAAGCAAGAGAACAGAGCCCTCCTGTGCTTAAAGTTTTATAGATTTATGGGAGCAAGCTGATTGGTCAGTGGCTTCTGTAATGTGCCATGTATAGAGGCTAACAATTATAGCCCTACCAATAGCTGAACATTGACTGGCTAGAAAGCAAGTCCTATTGAATATTAGCGTCAATGAAGAGGATTACTAAGTCATTCTTCACAGAATTATTTAAAATTAAGCTGGGGGGCTACATCGCTATGTGTCTGGCAAAGGTACTGTACTATTGCAGTGGATGCTTTAGAAATGTACAATTAAACACCACTTGTGCTTGCCATAGCTAATCCCAGGAAACAAGCCTGCTCTCTGGATTCCAACTAAATACACCTCAGAGGAGAGAGATTGAGGACGGAATATTAACCTCCTCACTAACAGTTGATTTTGTTTCGCAGTACATAGCTGTGCACATTGTAGCAGATCAGCTGATGTCCTTTGGAGGCTCCACGGATCCCTGTGCCCTTTGCAGCCTGCACAGCATTGGCAAGATAGGAGGCCAGCAGAACAAGAACTATACCAAGCTGTTGTGTGACCTGCTCACTAAACAACTGCACATACCTGCAGATAGGTAAGGCTGCACTAGAGTGACATTCAAATTACTGGCTTGCCTAAATTATTTCTTTGGATTCTCTATTATGCTCCCTGGTGGCTGTTGTTTATTAACACCCAAGGGAAAACTCTTATCTATTGTGAATAGAGAGATACAACTTTCAGACTTCACAACAGTCGTGTGCTGGTGCCATGAATTGGCCCCAGATTAATGTGGTTCAGGTGGCTCTCAACCTTTCCAGATTACTGTACCTCTTTAAGGAGTCTCTGGCATACCCGCAAGTGTTCTCACTTAAATACTTGCTTACAAAATCAGACAAAAATAGCTTACTTTCTTATTTTTACCATAGAATTATAAAATACATGAGAATATAAATATTGAATATATATATTTCATCATACAGCCCTATAAACAAGTCATTTTATGAAATTGTAGTGTGTACTGACTTGACTTGTACTTTTTATGCAGTGTATTGTAAAACTACGCAAATATCTAAATGAGTTGATGTATCCCCAGAAGACCTCTGCATACCCCTTGTTGAGAACCACTGGTCTAGTAGGCTACCTATAATCCCAAGTGGCTGGCTGATATAGTATAATCTGAGCCTTGGGAGTTAGGGTTAAATATGATACACAAATGAATAATATTCAGTGTTCTCTTCTTTTTTTTTTTTTTTTTTTTTCCTGGCATGAAGGATGATCATTGGGCACCTTGGGGAGTTTGGAGGTAGGCAAGGAGACCCAGAAGAATTCTGCCACTTGACAAGCAGCTGCTGTTTCTTTGGATGCCAAGAATACAACTGTAAAAACTGAAATTTGAAAATAGACAAACTTTGATTTAGGGATGTAAGTGACTAATCGAATAGTCGACTATCTGATAAGCAAAAGTGTATTGGATAGTCAACACACTAGTCGACTAGTCGCTTCCCCCCCCCTTGCTGCTTCTGTCAGAGGCAGCAAGTGGGTGAGCAGGAACCAGTGTTGGGGGGGAGCTGTCTTAAAAGCTGGTTTCCCCCCAACACCATCTCTATGGGGAAGTGGGGAGCCGAGAGCAATGGGGAAACTGCGCAAGCTGTCCCTCTCGTGCCAGTCCCAACTGCTGCTCCTCTCTCCTTGAGCGCCGGCAGCTCTTATACATTTCAAAGGAAAAAGCACAGAGGGGAATGGTACCTGCTGGCACGTCTGCTGCCTCTTTCTCTTTGAAATGTACAAGATCCGTGGCGGCCCTTGTACATTTCAAAAGGACAAGTGCAGCAGAGTGCTCCCCTTATGGACTAAAAGAGTAGTTGATGGACATTCCATAGACTACTCAATTAGCTGATTAATTGAAGTTTAACATTCCTAGCAGGGATGTGCAGTCAGCCAGGAAAGCCCATTTGGAGTTGGCAAAAAGTTGCTGCAGTCAAATCACTCAAACATGTTACTAAAATGGCATGTTTTAATTAAAGAATGATCTTGGAAATGCAAAGAAGAAAATGGGTGTGCTTAGGGCAGGAGCCTTGGCGAGCCCAGTTTGCAAGTGCTTGGTAAAGCATTAGAGAAGGAAAGTTGGAAATGAGCAGCTTCTGGCTTTAAACCAAAATTTACTGATAAAGATCTCAATAGCTTTTATAAAAATTAAAGTGGAAAATGTGAAACCATATCCCTTGGAGGATGGGAAGAGGAATACGTTTACATTTCATGCTTACATTTCATGCACTAACATTTTGTCACATTCAACATTTCTACTCTTTTTTACAGAGTCTACATCAACTATTATGACATGAATGCTGCTAATGTGGGCTGGAATGGTTCCACCTTCGCATAGGGCACTCCGATGGAAGTGAAGAGTCTTTTCCTGGACCTGCACCTCTCCTGCCTGTTAGCAGACCGTGGCACAAATTGCCCTTCCCTGAATTTTGTGCAGTCTCACGGATGACAGTTCTTTGCTAGTGTGTTCACATTCCTTTTGTTTTCTACTTATAGAAAATAAATAATGAAGATATAGAAGGAGGTGGCATGGTGTGATCTCTTCCTTTAGCATGGGGGAGGTCATTTAGCTGGCCTAATAAACAAATGCTTCTCTCTCTCTCTCAATCACTGCATTTTAGGAACAGGGATGAGGCTAAATAAATCATAATAGGTTTCCATGACTCCAGAGTGCAAACTGATTCATATTGATAGTAGGGATGTAAAATCTCATTTAATTGGTTAATGCATTAAAAGGGGGGGGGCAGACCACCTGCCTGGGGAGAGGTGGGGGGCAGGAGCTGCTCCAGCCCCTACCAGTTAACTGAACAGATAAGCATCACCCACTAAGTATGATGATTACTGGTTAACCTTTCACATCCCTAATTGATGAAGGCATGACCTACACTGTAACAGTGGTAGTTAGAATGAGCTATTACACTTCCAAAATTAGGACATAGATCATACATAGCATAGATCATACTGTGTGAATAAAAGCATAGTCTTATGATGTCTCCAAGAGTAAATTGCCACTCAACACTAACCGTGTGTTTGCATTTGAGTAAGAAAACTTTTGTAGTTCACAGATGCTTATCGTATCTCCCCAATGAACCACAAAATTTTGCCATAGGTTGAAGTATGAATGATGCTTCTGACAACAAAGCGAGCCCTCCTTGTTGAGAGTGGAAGTATTTTGTTGGTAAAGGTGCCACACACACTGACTTTTAGCGACAGGACTATGTCAACACAGCTTTGTTGATAAAAGTTGTGTAGTGTTGACATACCCTAAGAAAATGAAAAGACAGCTAGCTCCTGGCATTTCTATGGAGGCTGCCTTGCCATCCTTGGGGTTTCAGGAGAAGCAAATCACATCAGAGGAAGTTAGTGTAGTGCAAAAACAATAGGGAGATATACACCTACCTCCTTATAAAGCAGCAAGCAGAATAATTTGCCAGTGATCAAAATGGAGATTGCACACTTATTTGAAACTTTTTAATTCCAGTGCATGAAGGTAAATCCAGTGTGTGCGAACGCAGGTGTCCTCATTTCCCCTCTCGTAGCGGCAGTGTTTAAATCTGGCAGAAGCTCTCCCAAAAGCAGACATGCCCCGGGGACATGCGCACGGCGCTGTTCTTTAGCCCTCCAGAGGGGCACGTTTCACGTGCTCAGCGGAGAAGGATACAAAAGAGGATCTTGTCTCTGGAGGGGTTTTGCTGGGGCTCAGGCCCCCTAATTCTCCTGATCCTTGTGCAGAATAGCGGGGATCCCTCGCCAGCAGCCCTTGTGCCAGGGGCTGGCACTAGTGAGGGGGTAGGGCTCTGAGGGCTGTGCAGCCCGAGGCCAGTGGTGCTGGGGGGGGGCCCCTGAGGCCA